AACACCTCCACTGTTATATGACTAAAATTAAAATTGGCTTATGTAACTAAGGATCCAGAGATTGAAATACCCTCTTGTAATGGGCAAGAATTGCATCTATGACATTCCATCAATAACAGCTGTAGTATTAATAGTAATAACAGTAATATATTCCAAGAAGTTTAGAATTAAATTTGAAGCTCAACCATAGCAACAATTGTTGGCCAGCATATTTGTGTTCTTCTTTGCCCTGTTTCTTATTTCCATCTATTCTTGCTGGTCTTAATTTTCTGTTTTACTGTATAAGTTATATCAAATAATTTGTGGAATGAGGCTGAGTATAAATACATTAAAGTAATAAATTATGTTACAAGAAATGTTTGAAGGGTCATTGGGCAACTGTACATTATCATACTCAAACAGAACAAGAAGAAACCAATGCAAATTGTAGTTTAAAGAATTTGGGCCAAAATATAAGGAATATTTTCCTCATGGTGTTTTAAAACTGACAGGTTTGGGGGTCATATCAGTGTGGCTATGTAATATTCTCAGGAAGGCATATAGTATAGTCTTATAGCCTCTTTGAGTTCTGCTGTCTTCATCTATAAGATGAGGGGGCTGGACTAGCAGTGATTCTCAATTCTTTGTTGTCCAATGATATCTAATGGTTGATGGAACAGGGGGTTGAGGGTGGAAGTGGGAGGGGAACACATGCCCTCTTGCTTAGCCTGCTCTTCAAATGTGCTCTGTTCCCCCAAGCTTCTAGAGAACTCTGGGGCTCTTTGACACTCTTAGCCCTCGAAGTCATCTGGAACCCTGTCTTCTCTAAACCTTGCTATTCAAATTGTGGTCCCTGGGCAAGGAGCCTGGACAATCACCTGGGACCTTGCTAGACATGTAGAATCGCAGGTACCACCCTCGACCTGCCAAATCTGAAACAGCATTTTAACAGATCCTTTGGTGATTAGTATGCACAGTAAAATTTGAGAAGCACTGCTCTAAGACCCCATGTCCTTTCTTTGAGGCTTATTCAAGTATCACACTATGATTCTAACAATTTTTTCTTGTACTCTTATTAACATGAAAACACTTTGATCTGTCCTCAAATAAATTCCAGAATCTCTGGAAAGCGAAACTGGTGGAAGAAAACCACATCCAAGACTATTTAGTGTCCTTTGCTCAGTGTTATGACCAGGGTAGATCCCTCCTGATGAGTTCCTGTGACATCTTGGGCAGGCAGCACAAACTGCACGGGAGGAGTTCCTGTGAAATGGCAGCAAGTGCTAAGCCTCTGGAGCACTTTATTTAGCGAGGCTCCCCCCTCCCCAACCCTCCTGCCTCTGAAAATGAAGCCTTGTATAAGCAGAGACAGGCTAGCCAGGGCTTTCCCTGTCTCCTCTTACACAGTCCACAGTGACTTTTTGCATGTTACAAATAAGTGACTAACTCTATAAGGTGTCATTTAGGGAAACCAGATCCTTCCTGGTAGTAGATTCTAATTTGCGCTTTGCTAGTATAGGTTAAGCCCTGGCTTTCTAGGTGTACAAAAACAGACTTTTATTTCTATGTAAGCAGACCTCAGCAAAAATATAAGACCCAGAATCAGTTGCTTAACCCCTGTAATGGAAGTATGCTAATACAGAGTTTCATTTTCATTCCTTTCCATCTCAAAATTAAATACAGTAACAACTTGCTTTATGCTATAGTTTGCAAGTTTTAGCTAAAGTCCATGCATTGCACATACCATGATGATGAAGTAGAGACTGAAATTTAGAATACAAACTTTTTGCTGCTTTGGCTGTCTTAATGTTAACTCGAGGCCAACTGACACTGCTAAAAATAAGATTAAGAAAAGTTAATGGAAAAAAATGGTAAAATAATTTAAAGAGGTTTATTCTAACCCTAATATGAGTGAACATGGCCCAAGGAAACACAGTCTCAGAGGTCCTAAGAGTTTACAGAGATTTATTTCATTAAAATGCTAGCTTATTTTTTCATTTTATTGTTGGAGCACCAAACTTCTTGCCTAAACCACAATTTAATTTTACTTTAAATAGTTTTTATCTTTTTGTCAGTTTTTCCTTGTCAAGGAAATGGAGCTAATCGGTTTTCATTGCTTCTTAAAACTTAATTTGTCACTGTATCCTGATTTCATGGTTATATGATTATCTCGTTGAAATTCACAATTCTAGTATTTTTCTGTAATGTTCAAAATAAAAACCTGACATGAATTATGCATTAGAATATTGCATTTTGAATATTAACCTAACATTAATTGCAAATTTGGAGCATATAACAATCGTAACGAAAGCTAACCTGATTATCTATGGTAAATTATTTCTTCATATCCTTGCTGACATTGTTATGTTCCTTAATTTCCTTGTTGACACAAACAGGATCTTTGTTTGCTTTAAGCTCAGTACCCTTCAAAATGTGAAAGAGAGAATGAGCGATTTGTTGCCTAGAGTCCTCTGTTATCAATATTTATTTTTGCTTTTAAGGCATATTACTTCTCCATTGCTTAACAATGTTAAATCAAATGAGTTTTGTGCAGTTGAACTTTTATAACACTGGCTCTCAAACACACAAAATTACACCTACATGGTTGTGGCACCTCGGACAACCTCAAAAATGTAGATTTTTACCACCTTCTAGGAAAGGTAAGTCCTGAGAAACATTCTCTCCTTCCCCTCTGTATGGTGTCTTTTTCCAAACCTCCAAATCTGGGGCTTTATAATTGGCAATACTCTTGACTATTGGTAAGATTTCTGTAATTCTTAAATGATAATGAAGAACAGAAATAGTTATTATTATTAGTGCCTCACCAAAAGCAAGACCATAATTCCAATCACTATGATGAGTTTTTGTTTTTCCTTTTTTCTCCAATGTTAAAAGAGGGAAAGAGAGTAGGTAGCAGAAGTTTTTGTTCTTTGAAAAACTTGAGGCTGTCTGTCTTAGTTATTAGACACAGAGCTCTCTACTAAATTAAGAAGGGGGAAAACTGCTAAATTTGGAGACAAAATTCTGTTCTTTACAGATGGTGGTCTGTTTCCTGTAAGAGGTAAGTGGTGGCTCTGCTATAACTTGCTTATGCCCTTGGATAAATTATTTAATGTCTCAGGACTTTCCTAGGTTGAGATGTTTTGATTATCTGCTCTCTGAGGGTCTTGACCAGCTTTAGAATTCTTCAAATACATAGAATATATTCCAAAACTAGAAAAGAAGTTGAATAAGGGGATAAAATTAAGAAAACCAAGTAGCTTTGTCCTTTTCTTGGGCCAGGCCATTATAGTGGATGTTATCATTTCTCTGAGACATGAAACATCTGAGCAAAACCTTTTTTCAAGTTGGGATATCTTTGTCATTTTTCTCTGTCTATGCTAATGTCGATGTCAGCTCCCATGGATAATTCAGCTTCTAGCTAAGAGCTATTCCAACAAGTACGTTGGGAAGCAAATTTTTATAAATTTCCATTTTCTGATTGATGCCCAGCTGCTATGTTTCCATAAGGGAAAAAAAAACATGCACAAGAGTTGTGACTCCTGCCACTTTCGCAACAGTGTTTGGAGTGCTCTTGATTTTGATCATTCAATAGTCAACAAACATTTGCAGAACATCCATTAAGTGCCAAGAATTGTGCTATACCATGGGGATATAGAAATAAACAAAATTATTATAATTGCCCTCAATTTGGGGACAGAGACAAATAAATATGAAAATACATAATGTGTGAGTTGCTATGGTGGAGTAAGCTGAATTTTGAAAGGTGAAGAAATTGCAAGCTTAGTTCCATTCAAACACATCAGATACTACCAGATGCTGGGAATTCCATGTGTTGCCTTTAGGGTGTCTGCAGTCCCATAAAGGAACACACTGTGTGAACCAAAAATGTAAATTGATGTGGTCATAGGATGCAATGGGATCAGAGAGGAGAGGCCCCTGATTTAGACCTAAAGGAGTCAGGAAAGGCTTTTACGTGAACACTTTTCATGTAAATAAATGTTAGTCATATCTTGGAACTTTGTTTTACCTTCCAAAATCATAATGATCAACCTCGTGGCTCTAGCACCTGATAACTTTGTTCTTAATTTCTTAAGTTTGAGGCTTCAGACTATGTAAAACAAAGTAATTCCTTATATTAGTAATTTTTCTATTACCAGAGAAGTATAGAAGAGGGCATATTTATTACTGCTTTTTAAAGTATGTTTTTAAAAAAATTTTGGCAAGACGGGGAAGATCAAATCTCTTAGGAATTCTTTTTTCTTGGTCTTTTTCATCCCACTATTTTAAATCTATATATTTTATTTTTTGATTAGTGAATTAACCATGCTCTTTGCTTTAGTCTTTTCCTCCTTGCGACTCATTTTAGATTACCTCCTGATTGCTATCGTAACTTATATATTATCACCTAAGGGAAGGAGGAGAACAGCAGTGGAATTTTAATCATTTTGAGTCCTGATGTTTTTTAATAACTTAAAAATTTTGATATATGAAAATTTTGAATTAAATTTTCAAATTAAAGAAATACTGTATTGTCTTAGCTTCCAGATTTACTAATAACAAAGAATTTCTAGTCATATATCCAAAAATATTTTTCTCACTATAGGTTCTTTTCTGTATAGTTCACTTTGTCATGATTTTTTCAAGATTTATATTAATGCTGAAGTAGAGAAGAGGCAAGTTTTACCTTTTATTCAGTTTAAATCAGGGAACTTATTAAGTGCTAAGTAAATGCAACATAGCTTCTGTTCTCAAGGGGCTTATCTTTCTTCTAATCTTTATGTACAGCACGGCTAAACCTAACTTCATTCTTTGGGTTTTTACAACCTTAAGTATTAACAAATGAGTCTAGTATTTGCAGTACTACATTCTTCACCTCTGCTTATAATCTCTTCTTTAAACATCTCCTCTTCCTTCTTATAGCAAAGTGTCAGTATCAGAGTATCTTCTTTCCAGACCATATGATAGTGGGGGTATGGGAGGGTGACTGTGGGGAAGCAGCCATTAGTGTCTCTTAAAATAATGAAGCCAAATATTCAATGACTTTGCCCATCTGTATAAACAAGAAAAAAAAAGAATTGCCCGGCCACGTGTCTCAAGGTGTCAGGGAGAAAGGTAAAGGAGAAGAGGAGTCATAACTGGTGTTGAGGGGGAAATTGGAATTGACCCTACTGCATCCTTGGTTGTAAGGACAACTTTTAGAGTAGAAAGTAAAAAGAAGTTCAGATTGTCCTCCATAAAGGGAATCCACTCATGTCTGGCTAAAAGAAGAGGGAAGGGCAATTTGTTCTCAATGAACTCTTTCATGAGACAGTGCCAGCCACTTTAATGGAGGCTGTGATTTAGAAATGGGGGGAGATATTGCTGCCTTGTAGTGAATGCACAAATACATGGGCTTTTCCAACACTGCCAGAACAATGCAGGCTTCTGTAGGTTCCCAGCTAATGCACACTCCCTCATGCATTTTCTGGCTTGGCTATAAACTCTTTGGTCAAGTGTTGGGGGACAGGGCTTTGCACAACAGAGCAGTTAGAATTTTATCTTTTCTCCATGTGACCTACAAGGAGCCTTCAGGAGAAGTGCTGGGCATGGTCCATTCTGAAGTCAGCTCTGTTCTTGCACTGACACCAGAAGGTCTCTGCAGAGAACTCCAGTGAGTACCAGTCCTATATCCAGTCTTAAGATGTCCTTAAGTCATTTCTATTTTTCTTATTTATACAGATGGGAAAAGCCAAAGAATTCACATGGTTATGAGATATATTTTATTCAGGCAATATTTGTCTTCAAACCTCCTACTCTTGAAATTTCTGTTTATCCTCTTTTGTTCCTTAAAAATAAAAGGCAATTTGCAAAATTTGTTATAGTATCAGCATTGAAACACAGTGTGCACCATCTAGGGAATGGACGCACTTGAAATTCTGACTTAGGTGGGGCAAAGGCAATATATGTAACCTAAACATTTGTACCCCTGTAATATGCTGAAATAAAAAAAAAAAAAAGGAAACACTGCATGGAAGTTGTCACCACAAATGAAAATATAATCTAGACAGGAGCCAGGAATAGTATATTTGCCAAAAAAAAAAAAAAAAAAAAAAAAAAGGAGGAGGTGGGGCAAAGGCAATATATGTAACCTAAACATTTGTACCCCTGTAATATGCTGAAATAAAAAAAAAAAAGGAAATACTGCATGGAAGTTGTCACCACAAATGAAAATATAATCTAGACAGGAGCCTGGAATAGTATATTTGCCAAAAAAAAAAAAAATGTCTGAAATAATTCTACTCTTATTTCTTTGTTTACTAAATGTATTATTTATTAATTTATTTGTCATTAATTATTTGCAATTCTGCCTGAGGGCTCTTTCCAGCCATTAGGGTCCCCTGTGCTCTGGCAAGGCAGAAGAATGGAGGAATTAATAGTCCCAGGGAGCAGTCTTAGTGAATAGTGGGAGTTGGTGGGTTGCCAGCTAAGCCTCCTCATTCATCACCCATTGGGCAGGGGAACACTGAGGTTCATGTTCTACACTAGCTCTCAGAGGTCCTCAACAGTATTAAGCTCCAGTTATCCACAGTGGTTGCTGTCTTGGTTATATACCCTTCAATGGCTTTCTTCCCTTCCTTGTCTCACTTCTTCACTCTCCCATGACTTCTCATGCTGATGTCTGTCAGGGGTGCCTGCAGTTTGCCAACCATGTAGTGCACCATGATGTCATTTGACCCCTGGTTCTGTCCAAAGACCCTGCAACATGCTGTGATCAGGGGTGCAGAGGACAGACAAGATGAATTGGAGAGTTCTAGCTCACAAATGAGCTGGATCCAGGGATTTAATTATTAAAAAACAAAAAGCAATGCATATTATGGCATATGGTGATGCCCATAAAATAATTTTGTCCTTTTATCTGAATACAGACATTAAAAATATTTTTTGATTTGCCAAGGGAAGGAAAAACAACAGAAATATAGTAAAATTACATCTTTAGTAGCCTCTCTACTAACCTCTACTCTGTTTTGTCAGCTACTCCTTTAGGTACCTTTGGTTCCTGGCTTTTTCATTTTTTAAATCAATGTGCCACTTTCTTGAATAAATATTACTCTTTGCCATTATGTTTTTTCATGCCTGTTTACTTTTTAGAGTTTATGTCATATTAAGAGAAATGAAATAACTTTAAAACAGGATGTTTTTCACTGTCATATTTCTATGTACCTATACATTGAAAAAGCAATACTACGGCCTTAAATTACCCTTTTGAAGAGTCTAAGACAAAACAAAAAAAAATTAACCCAAATGAGCCAAGCCTTTGGAAATTTAGTTTTCATTGCCCCAAAGTGTTTACATTGATTTGTGGTAACACCTGAAAATGCTTCTGTGATGAATAATTGCATTGGCCAGGGCACTCAGATGCAAATAAGAACAGCCACTCTCTGCCCAGGTTAAGCAGAAAGGGATTTGTTCCAGAACCCAGATAGCTCACAGTAGCAGTGGGAGAGGAGGGAGAGCAGGCTAGAGGCCAGAACATCGCTGCTGAAGCGCCCTGCTGCCCCTGACCCCAGGGCCATGCTGTGTCTGGTGGCACATATATGAGCAAAAGGGAAACCCTGTGCTGCCCTGTTTCCTTATGAGGCTCACACCGACATCAAAGTCTCAGGTGGGTGCCGCTGACTGGCAGAACCTAGGTCACACACCAACACCCAAATTCCAGGAAAATAAGGAGACATAGGTTTGGTTTGTCTGTTTGTTTTTCTCTCTCTGGGCGAGGCAGGATTCACAGCCCAGGGATCTGCTACAATGTAGGGAAGCTGTCTGAAGAAGCTGGCAGCCACAAATGACAAGTGTCGGTTGCGATAATGTTTCATGAAAATAGCAGCGATCAAATTGTATAAGCTGTTTGGCCTCTACTGTTAAAAAAATATGTGTAGCAAAAAGATTGGAAGGAAATACACCAAAATGTTAATATTCATTATCTCTATGGTGGATTGTGGGTAATAGTTTTCTTATATTGTACTTTCAAATTTTTCTATAATGAAACTATTTTCTTATAAATTAGAAAAAATGGGACCTTCCCATTTAAGAAAGGTGGATAAAAATAATTGCTGCCTTGCTAGATGGATGCAAAATTGACTTTAAAACTCCTAGGCATATTTAATAATCTGTCTTTGTTAAACAGGTAAATGATGAATCAAAAAAGCAAACAAAACCCCAAAACTTCTTCTCATCTAAGTTGAAGTTAAAATGTATTTTTCTGTGGCTTTGTCCTAAGTAGGTACCGTAGTTGCTGATCACATCAGTCTGAAATCAAAAGGGCCTCAGACATCCTTTACCCCAACTTCATAGAATCCATTTCAGTTTGAAGTTTTTAAAAGTACAACCATATATATATACACACATATATATACACATACACATTCATCTGTTTAATATCTTTCTTCCCCAGCAGACACAAGGGCAGGGACCATGAATCTCTAGTGCCCACTACACTGTAGACACATAAGTAGGTATTTACTAGTATATGTGCAACAAATGACTGTTGATGGTTAAGCCACAAGAAAAGGGACTGTAGATCATTATGTCTACTAACTGCAAAGCCTTTCAGTCCCACCAGTGAAGCCCTCAATGAGGTAGCTCTGACTGCATAGGACATCATTCTGCTGCTCTACACACCTTATTTGGATACTGGGTATTGTAGGGCTGTCTCAGGCCCATCTGTTTGTATGCCCCTTGAAGAACTTTCTGCAGCTCCTACCTCTTGTTGGATACAAGAAAATGTGGGGGATTCTGCAATTTTCTATGTCCTACTTTGGAAGGAAAGCAAAAGTCTCCTGTTCTCAGGCCCTCTTACCCATATTGGAGTTCTCTTCCTACTCCCTCTCTGGACCTGGCCTACAGCAAAGCAACTATTTTCAAGAGCTTAACAGTTCCTAATTTTCTTACCTGCTTCTGACCCTCTTCCCTTTACCTTTTCTGGAAGAGGGTCCCTTTCTCACCTCAGGGCAGGGAGAATGCTCACCTGCTGATCAAGTGTTCCTCCAGATCCTTTCTTTTTAGCCTTGATCTCTCCTTTGGGAACTAGACAGCCAGGGATTTGACTCATATTCTCTGTAGTGATGTCATCTTTTTCGTGAGGCAATGTATGCTGCTGGTTGACCAGGGAAAATGTGGAAAGATCCATGGAAATCCGAGGAAAAATAACCCTTGCTTAATATCTCAAAAATACCTTCTCCATTTGTACAAAACGTGGGCCAATTTCAAGTGAGTGAAATTAGCCATAGTTATCCCAAATTTCCAAAGTTTGTCAGTTCACTAATGATTCTAGGAAGAAAGAAACATGCCACTCGGGAAAGAGAATAGGAAGTTTGCAAATAGGTGAGTCTCTAGGGATGCCTGTTTTTGCTGCTGTCACAGTTTCTCCCGTGTTGAGGCTCTGATAAAATAAATATCTGTCATGTTATTTAGGAGTGGGTGACAGGCTGAGAGTCACTGAGCAAGTGACAAGCTGTCCTTGACTTGGTAGGTTTCCATGCTGTCTTTGGCTGATATGGATCTCGTATTAAGTGACATGCAATGAGAGTTTCCTCTATCAGTTTAGTGACATGATTTTAGGCAAGGAAGGTATAATGTCTCTGCATCAGCTAGAGATGATTATAATAGATATCACCTGTCTTAATAGCCCTAACTTCATCTGCTAAACTGTGGGCAAATGAGATTTTATGCTTTATCATCAGGCTGCCAGACAGGGCTCAGGTAGCTATATGTAAAATCTCATGCTCTGCTGCACAATAGTTGATGTTGGCAAGGAAAAATTAAGTATCTTGAAGCTTTTTATAGCATTTATTCCTTCACAGCAAGAGAATATTGCAAGTTTGTGTAGGGCTTTATATTGTCATGCTTAACCACTGTGACTTTTACAACTGCATGCTAGCTGGGGCACAGTAAATTACTGAAAAAGCTCTCTGAAGATGCCATTGAGCTTTGCCTGCTGCTTTGTAATCTTTAGAAGTGACAGAAAAACATAGCCTCATATGCCATTTCAAGCTTCTTTGGGTATACTAACAGTCTGAGTTGCCCCTCCTTATAACATTAGGTCATTCGTAACCAAATTCTTGATTGAACAGTCTTTCTATAGAATATATTACTAACCAATGTGATTGGAGCTGGTAGTTGGTTAAATAAAAGAAACTATTTTAAAATAAAATGACATTAATTAAAACATTTCTATCAACTTAAAATATACTATTATACATTTTCTCCAATTTTTGGATGTACAGCCAACATCTAATGCCCTCTGGTTAGAGGCCCCTTCATCTTTTTTAGTGTAAACCATCCATAATATATCAAGTTGTTCAGGTTTGTCTTCTGTAAAATGGAATAAGAATTTGGCAATCTAAATTCAGAATACTAGGGAGGAGGGAGCAGCGGATGGGTATATACAACCACAAAGAGTAAGATGTGCAACATTTGAGGGATGGACACGTTTGAAGCTCTTACTCAAGGGGGGAGGGGGCATGGGCAATATATGTAACCTTAAAACTTGTACCCCCATAATATACTAAAATAAAAATAAATAAAAAATAAAAATAAATAAATTCAGAATACTAGATTTTACATTTTTGACCAGTTTTCTATAACTGTCTTGTCAGTTACTGAACAGCTTTTTTTTTTATAACTTGTCATTATCAAGTTTTTTGATAAGCATTTGACTTAGTTTTCCTAGCAAAGATAACTCTCATGCTCACCCTTTATCCATTTATGTTATATTTAACTCAGAAACATACAGTAATGAGCTCAGCTGGCACAAACAGGCTTGGGAACAAACACAATAACTCAGGTAAGCGTACATCTCAACTGAAAGGGCAGACGTTCACATGTGTGCCAGAGACAGTCTACTGGCTGTGGGCGTTCCCGGTGTCAACGGCATCTGTCAGCATCTGGCAGAAAGGACTGGAGAAGGATGGTTAATCTATTAGTTGGTTAAAGGGCTTTTGATTAAGAGAGTTTCCACTGTAAATACACGTTTTATTGGTATGCATCAGTAGTACCTCTAAAAGAACGTTTTTGCAAAATGTTTTTCTAGTACAGGACCTGCAGAACTTGCCTTAATGAACTGCCAAAGCTCACTTACAATCAGCAGAATCTCTCTGCACGCATAATTGGAGTTCTAAAGAACTTTCCCCCAGCAATCTAGTTTACACTGCAGTACTATAATTAGTTTGTTCATCAGACTATTTTTTTTTTTTTTAGATGGGAAGAAATAATGTTTTGGCCACTCCTCACTGAGTTATTACAATTTTAAAATTAAAATTTTGGGATTTAGTGAGTCCATTTATACATTCTTCCATTTATACATGCTAGAGATCCTAAATACCTCTTCAATGTTTTTAGTTATTTTTTTTTCTCTTAAATACTGGTAGTAATAAAGTATGATATGCCATGGATAGTTTAAAAAAGAAAATAAATAGATACTAGTCCTACTGATCTTAAACTGATAGATTTGGAAAATTTTAGAGCTGAGAGAGTGAGAGAAGTATGTGTGTAAATACATAGTAATACACAAATAAACACACAGAGAGGCAGAGACAGAAAAGGAAAGAAATAGGCAAAGAGATAATGAGACAGATATGAAGAGACAGAGTGACAGGTTTTATATATAAATATAATAGATTTTATATAGAGAGAGAAAGAGACAGACAGACACAGGGAGACACATAGACACCAAGATAGGAATAGAGAAAAATAAAAAAGCAGAGAGAAACAGGGGAAAAGAGATATGGAAAAGTGCCAGAACACATAGCGAGAGAGAAAGAAACAGAAGTAGACACCATGAAAGATCAAGAAAAACTGAAACATCCAGAGGGACAGAAGAAGGGCCACCCCAGAAATGTTGCTCAAGATTAGCTTCATGTCTGCCCTCTGCAAAACTGTAGGTCATACAGATGTGGAGGCCAGAGGCCTTGAGGAAGCTGTGTCACTGACTGGGATATGAATGCAGACCCAGGGCCCACTGGGAGACACGGTGTCAATACCAGACCTCTGACTGAGTAGGCCACAGTCTGGGCATTAATTAGGTGGCCCTATACCACTTACTCATATCTGTCAAATGTGCTTTGCAGCTCTAATGTATTTAAACTTGTTTTTTTTCTTTTGGCTGCAGAAAAGTACTGAAGGAAATCTCTGTTGGACAACTAAATCCAAATGAGACTGTGCAGGCCAATTTGGAAGCCCAGCTACTCTCCAAGTTGGACCACCCAACTATTGTCAAGTTCCATGCAAGCTTTGTGGAGCAAGATAATTTCTGCATTATTACAGAGTACTGTGAGGTGAGTCTCATCTTCTCTCTTAGAAGTCTTAATAAAAATCTGTTGCATGGTAAAAAGCCTTCTCAAAAGTGCAATGATCAAACCAGAAGTTGAATGAACTATAAAGAGCTGGGATGTCATGTCTTACAGCTAAAAATGATTATCTCCAGGTAATTGAAAACTTGTTTCAAAGGCAGGATTTTCCTTCCTTTAACAAACTTGGTCATAATGAATATGTTTTAAGGAGAAATTTCTACCAAAGAATGCTTCAACAATTTTTTTAGTGGAGTACAGACAGGCACATCTCCTACGATGGCCCAATGCTTAGATGGACATTTAAATATCCCAACAGAGGCCTGGACAGAGTAGAGATACATCTCCTGATTTTTGGATTCTAGCTCTATGATTTATTTTTTCCACTAGAAATTTGCAAATGGAAATGTGGCTAATTTCCTGCACAGAAATCCTTCATATTTATCAAATTGTGATTTATGGTTTCAGGTATTTGCAATTTTCCTTACCACTCTGTTTTCTCCAAGTGATAGCTGTGTATTTTACTGAGACCTAAGTAAGTGTGAAACTGCTTCGAAAGGTGCAAGAGGGGAAATTAACAATGTTTAGCTATAGTAAGGGTCATTGCTAGGTAAAGGGAGGCACACGGATTGGATCATCCAAAGATGACCTTGCTCAGAAAGTATCTCCTAGAATATTCTGTAGGCTAGGTTAGCCAAATGCACCTTGGGAGAATTTGGTACTATTCACACTGCAGGGTGAATTTAGTCAGTTCATCATTTGGGTGTTGCTGGAGTCTCCCAAAAATGATACTGGGAAGAAGGAAGATGATCTTTAGAGTAGAAAGCAGGCCTATTTGGGTCAGAAACTTTGGGCAGCCAGATACAACTTGAGGGTGCCATGTGTTTGAGAGACAGAAGAGACAGGAGAAGGAAAAGAAGCTCAGAAGGAATACAAATAGCAACAAAAACCAACCTTGCCTGCTTTATACATTACCTGGTGTATCACCCCAAATGAAGCCAATAGCCAAATTAAAATATCTGAACAAGTTTGAAATAGTCCATGTGTTGGCCATTCCCCTCAGATCACCCTCACCAGCTCAGCCTTGTTGAGTATTTCCCAATCCAGGTCTTGACCCTGCTCTGCTTGGAGGAAAGTGGGGGAAAAAAAGAACCAGGTTGCTTGGAAGTCTACTTCTTCTTCACCCAATGAATTGTTAAGAAAATCAGTAAGGTGATGATGCATGCAGAGTAGTGATTTTGAACAGCTGCTCAGCAAATATGCCACTAATCCATGCAAAACTACAGATATTTGCATAGGTAGCTACACTATGATCCACCTGCTATAATTTGATCATTTTTCATCATTAGCACTTTCTGTCAAACTTTATTATTTTAGAAACAACTGCCTTCTACTGCTTGTAACTATTACTGCTACCTCTATTGCTGCTTTTGGCATATTGAATTTTTAAAGATTTCTTCCAGGTCTTAGAATATTATAAACTGTAACTGTCCGATAGAGCTTGCTGTGTGATGGAAATGGTCTATATGTGTGTTATCTAATACAGTAGTTACTAGTCACACATGGCTCTTTAGCATTTGAAGTATGGCTAGTGCAATTGAGCAGCTAGATGTTAAGCTTTATTTAATTTTAATTAATTTAAATTTAAATAACCACATGTAGCTAGTGGCTACCATTTTGGATATGCTTCTATAACTTTCTTTACCTCCATTAATTAAAAATGTTTTTATTTTAATGTAATTTTAAAGTACCAGAAAAGTTACAAGAATAATATAGTGAACTCCCATATATCCTTCATCCAGATTCTCCAATTATTATTTTTCCATATTTGCATTATTGTTCTATTTATTTTTCTATCTTCTCTCTCTCTCTCTCTCTCCCTATCTCTATCTCTTTTTCCTGAACTATCTGAGAGTAAGTTGCAGACATGATACTCCTTTGTCCTAAATACCACTGTGAGTATTTTCTAAGGCTAAGGATGTTCTCTCACATAACCATAGTACTATGCTCAAAATCAGGAAATTAACACTGATACAATGCTGGTATGTAATCCAGTGGTTCTCAAAATGTGATCTGAAACCAGGAGCATTAGCATCACTTGGGAACTTGTTAGAAATAGAAATTCTTGGCCTCCATCCCAGCCATACTGAATCAGAAATACTGGGAATGGGGTCTGGCAATTTGTGTTTTGTGAAGTTGGCCAGGTGAGTCTGATGCACATGGAAGTTTGAGAATCACCTATCAAATAAATTCACAATCTATATTCAAATTCAGCCCATCTGTTCTAATTATGTCCTTAGTGAGGACATTTCTATAAGAATGTTATTTGTTGTGCAGGATCCAATCCGGGGTCCTCTGTGTTAGTTTTTAAATGATGGCTTGTTTCCATGGGCTGAGCTGCTCTCTTGGGAGGGGGCGTTGCCATGGAGACGGCTACAGGCAGTGCAGGAAGACAGCTGCAGGGCTCAGCTGAGCTGTCACTGCCACTTCCCTGACTCCCAAGGAATGACACGCACAGATCACTCCCTTCTTAACAGAGATATTTCTCATCTTTAGACCCACATTTACTCTTAACTTGCACAGACCTGGCATTATCCTCTTTTTATTAAGGTAAATAATAATATAGGAAATGGCAGGTGGCCAAACTTGCACCTCATAGGAAATGCCATCACCATTGATTGAAATGGCTGATCTTTTTACATTCAAGGTCCCTCTTCTGTAATTTAATTGGGGGCCTTTCAAGACCAAAATATAGAAATGCATTGGTGAGGCCTTTACATCTAATACTCAACCCTTTGGGCACATCACATCAGATTATGAGTGTAAAAAAGCAAACAACTGAACTCTCACAATTTCTGGTCAAGAACTAACTAAATATTGAATAGGGAATAGTTCCCAAACTACCCAAATGGCAGAATATTTCAAATATTGGTGTATTCTATTTTCTTCCACACGGGGAGGAAGTGGAACTACTTGCTGTTCCCTGCTCATCTCCATGGTTTCACACCTTTTCATCTTTTCTTCCTTCCAGAATGCCCTTCCTCCTAGCCTCACATCTTCAAGTCTTACCCAGCCTCCCAGCCCCACTTAAATGCCACCTCCTTTTCCACAATCAAAAGTTCCAATACACAAGGTTCCCTTTCCATAAACAAAAGCTCCCATAATCTCCTGGTTGGCAATCACTCCTGATCCCAGCCCTCCAAACTTTCATTGCATTTCTATTTCACATGGCACCCAGCACAATATACATTCTCTGTACCATCTCAGGCTCACAACATATGGGATTGATCTTTTTCTGATTCATTTTTCTATCACATCATGGACGTAAGTACTGAACCACAAAGAAGTTAGTTAGCACTCAGGATATATTTTTTTATGAATTCTTTACTGTTTTCTTCTAGCTGCCTCGCACATCATTTCTGACAAATACTGATGGTAAAAGATAAGTTATTGGATCCTTCCACCTGTTACATATGTCAAAAGTATTTTTCCCTACCTTATTTTGCTGATACACTAACAATGCACTACTGTACTAGAGACCTGTGACATATTGCCTGAAGGTCTTCCATTTGGGTGAGGATAAGGCATCTCCAGAAACCTGGGCATTAAATTAGTAGGCACAATAGAAAATAGGTGAGATCACATATCTTCAGGAGTGGGTGGTGCTGGTGGAGAGAACATATAACAGGGTAAAAAGCAGGAAATGTTGGACTTGCCTGTTTCCTGCTCAGTGATATTAACATAGCTAAACAAAAATTATGTTACTATATTAATAATGCCGGTTTTCAACCTGGGCTGCACATTAGAATCACCTGGAGAGATTTTGGAAATCTGTAGGCCTGAGGTCCACCTTTAGAAAGTTGGATTTAATTGATCTGGGGTATGGCCCAGGCACCAGGATTTTTGAAAATTGCCCAGGTGATTCTAAAGTACAGCCAGGGCTGAGAACTGCAAAAATGGGGGAATGGTTAGTGTGGAAACAGACAAATAGGATCATAAAGGAAAAATTTGGCAGTGCTTGTGGACTACTGAGCAGAGATAAGGCCCAGACCTGAGAACAGGGAAGTCTGGCCCTGGTGGTAGGTGTAGTTTTATGATCAAACCACCTAGCTACTTGGCTTGTTGCTATTATTCATGAAAATCACCCACCTCATTCTCCTTATACCCAAGCAACCTTCTGATCCCAATTCAGCATTCCATGTATGCCTCTTGGAATAGGAAAAAATATGTTGGCTAAACTGACATGAACTCACTTTTGCCTTGGCAGTTCTAGTTCTTGCTGCATATGAATAAATTGCCATTCTGGATTATTTATTAGTTACTTATGAGCTTGAAGTTTACAAAAGCAATAGTAATCAAGGGTCTTTCCAAAGCCATTACCAAGCCCCAGCTCTGTGTCAGATACAATTACAGAGTGTGGGATAACAGAGATCATATGATAATATTTAATGAACTTGTCTGGTAGGATTAATGAGTTGTTTATATCAATGGCTAAAGTACACGGAGGAATGTCAAAAATGTCATGGGAAGGATGTGGTTCAAGTGCTGTGGGACTTAACAGGTGAAAGAAATGATTCTGACAGCAGGAACCATGGAGGGACTAGCATTATATTTGAACTTGAAGTGATGGTAAGATTTGGCTAGGTGGAGAGGAACAAGGACATTTCAGTTAAAGGGAAGTATGTAATAAAAGGCTAACAGGTAGAAAAGCATGGGATGTGATTTAGGAATCTAATGCTTCACCTTTAATTGTAATGTGTTTGCAGTTAAACACATTTCCTAATGTTAACTTATATAACCATAGTGCAATATCAAAATCAGGAATTTACTATTTTACCAGTTTTCCCTTAATCTCTTTTGTCTGTTCTACGATCCAATGCAGGATTCTATACTGCATTGGGTTGTCGTCTCCTGGGTCACTCCTTAGTATCCTCTAATCTGTGATAGTTTCCCTTATCTGCCTTCTTTTTTATGACCTTGACACTTTT